CCTGGGAACTGAAATATAAATGGAATTTTTTGAGACAGAATCTTGCTCTCCTGTGACCAGGCTAAAAGTTCAGTGGCATCAAAAAAAAAAACAAACAAAAAAAACATTCAGTGGCATCGTCTTAGCTCACAGCAGCCTCCACCTCCTGGCCTCCAGCGATCCTCCTGCCTCGGCCTCCCTCCCCAGCAGCTGGGACTACAGGCACGCGCCACCACGCCCGGCTCGTTTTTTCAATATTATACATTTTTAGTTGGCCAGCTCATTTTATATTTTCTTTTTTTTTTTTAGTAGAAACGTGGTCTGGCTCTTGCTCAGGCTGGCCTCGACCTCCTGACCTCGAGCGATCCTCCCGCCTCGGCCTCCCTCCCGAGTAGCTGAGACTACATTTGTGCACCACAGAGCCCGGCTAATTTTTAAATTTTTTTTTTTGTACAGATGGGGGGTCTCGTTATTGCCCAGGCTGATCTCAAACTCCTGGCCTCGAGCGATCCTCCCGCCTCGGCCTCCCAGAATGCTAGGATTAAATAGCCACTCGGCCCGGCTATTTACGATGATTTATTTTTAAGAGATTAAAAAAAAAACGACCATGAGCCAGGCGCGGAGGCTCACGCCTGTCATCCCAACACTCTCGGAGGCCCAGACGGGAGGATCGTTCGAGGTCAGGAGGTGGAGGCCAGCCCGAGCAAGAGCGAGACCCCCGTCTCTACTAAAAAATAGAAATTAGGTTGACAAGTAAAAATATATAGAAAAACTGAGCCAGCCGTGGTGGCGCGTGCCTGAAGCCCCAGCTACTCGGGAGGGAGGCCGAGGCAGGAGGCTCGCTGGAGGCCAGGAGTTGGAGGCTGCTGTGAGCGAGGCTGACGCCACGGCACTCACTCTAGCCCGGGCGACAGAGCGAGACTCTGTCTCAAAAAAGCAAAGAAAAAAAAAAAAAGCACCATAAATATTTTTGTTTTTTCTGTAAATATTTGCCACGTTGGCATTCGCTTCAATATTTCGCAAACATGGGAAACGGTGGGTTTAAGGAACTGTGCGTGCATCTTATTTTATTTATTTTTTCTGCCTCCTAAGAAAGTCGGCCCCAAAATGCTGGACCACGAAGGTAAAGAAGTTCCAGGAAACCGAGGCTACAAGTACTTCGGAGCAGCCAAAGATTTACCCGGTGTCAGAGAGTTATTTGAAAAAGAACGTAAGTGACGAAGGTTCTGGAAGGTTTTGGGTCTGTTTTTGGTAAAAAAAAAAATCATCCCAGTAGATTCACGACATGCTGAGTCCTCTTGCTCTGTTTCTTCTTGCCCGTGCATAGCAGCCTTGCCCTGTAGGAATTATTTTTCCCGGATTTTTTTTGAGACAAGAGTCTCGCCCTGTCGCCCCGGGCTAGAGTGAGCGCCGTGGCGTCAGCCTCGCTCACAGCAGCCTCCAGCTTTGAGGCTCAAGCGAGCCTCCCGCCTCGGCCTCCCTCCCGAGTAGCTGGGACTACAGGCATGCGCCACCACGCTTGGCTCACTTTTTCTATGTATATTTTTAGTTGGCCAATTAATTTCTTTTTTCTTTATTTCTTTTTTTTTTTTTTGGAAAAAACGGGGTCTCGCTCTTGCTCAGGCTGGTTTCGAACTCCTGACCTCGAGCGATCCTCCCACCTCGGCCTCCCTCCCGAGTAGCTGGGACTACAGGCATGCCCTATTTTTCCCGGCTCATTTTTTTCTATATATAATTTTAGTTGGCCAATTAATTTCTTTTTTGGGGGGGAAAAACGTGGTCTCGCTCTTGCTGAGGCTGGTTTCGAACTCCTAACCTCGAGCGATCCTCCCGCCTTGGCCTCCCTCCCGAGTAGCTGGGACGACAGGCACGCCCCATTATGCCCGGCTCATTTTTTTCTATATATAATTTTAGTTGGCCAATTAATTTCCTTTTTTGGGGGGGGAAAAACGGGTTCTCGCTCTTGCTCAGGCTGGTTTCGAACTCCTGACCTCGAGCGATCCTCCCGCCTCGGCCTCCCTCCCGAGTAGCTGGGACTACAGGCATGCCCCGTTATGCCCGGCTCATTTTTTCTGTATATAATTTTAGTTGGCCAATTAATTTCCTTTTTTTGGGGGGGAAAACGTGGTCTCGCTCTTGCTCAGGCTGGTTTTGAACTCCTGACCTCGAGCAATCCTCCCGCCTCGGCCTCCCAGCGTGCTAGGATGACAGGCGTGAGCCTCCGCGCCCGGCCTCCCATAGCGGTTGAGTTGTCATCTGTAGATCCCCTTGTTTAGGTCAATTTAGAACTCTTATTACTAGACGTGAAAGATTAGAGTATCGTAGTACGGGCTAACCCTATTGATATTAATATATAACCGTTCCTGTATTTTTAGACTTTTACTTATTTCCAGTTTTTCACATTATAATTTGACATTATAAAATTTTTGTTCGTCCGATGGGTGAAAAGCATACTTTTTATTTTATTTTTCTCCCTAATGCAATTAACAACAATGGGAATTTTCATCCATTGAAATTTTTCTTCTTAAAGAAGAATTTCTTCTTCTTCTTAAAATTTTCTTCTTTAAGTCATTCAGCTTTTTGTTCTTTTACCGATCAGTTGAGTTGTCGTTTTCCTTTTGATTTTTCCAAGAATTACTTTTTTTTTTCTTTTTTTGAGACAGAGTCTCACTTTGTTGCCCGGGCTAGAGTGAGTGCCATGGCGTCAGCCTCGCTCACAGCAGCCTCCAACTCCTGGCCTCCAGCGAGCCTCCCGCCTCGGCCTCCCTCCCGAGTAGCTGGGACTCCAGGCATGCGCCACCACGCCCGGCTCATTTTTTCTCATATATGCATTAGCTGGCCAATTATTTTTTTTCTGTTTATAGTAGAGACGGGGTCTCGCTCTTTCTCGGGCTGGCCTCGAACTCCTGACCTCGAGCGATCCTCCATCCTCAGCCTCCCAGAGTGCTGGGATGTCAGATGTGAGCCTCCATGCCCGGCCTCTTTTTTATTTTTTAATAAGGATAGATTCCTTTTTATTTTTTTATTTTATTTTTTTGAGACAGAGTCTCGCTTTGTCGCCCGGGCTACAGTGAGTGCCGTGGCGTCAGCCTCGCTCACGGCAGCCTCAATATCCTTCCCTCAACCGATCCTCCTGCCTCAGCCTCCCTCCCTAGTAGCTGGGACTACAGGCATGCGCCACCACGCCCGGCTCGTATTTTCTGTATATATTAGTTCCTTTCAATTCATCAATTAATTCCTTTATTTATTTCCTTCCTATTAATTCCTTTGTATTTTTTACTAGAGACGGGGTCTCGCTCTTGCTCAGGCCGGCCTCCACCTCCTGACCTCGAGCGATCCTCCCTCCCCGGCCTCCCAGAGTGGCTGGGACGACAGGCAGGAGCCTCCACACGGCACCCAGCCCTTTTTAACGGACTCATTGGTTCAAAGGTCTGATTTCAGAGAAGGGTCGCGCGGCTTACGGAACGACGGGAGCGGCGTGCGGAGAAGCGACCGTTTTTCTGTGGTGTCTTCTGGAACGTTCCTGGCCCCGGGGAATTGAGCTAATAAGCTCCTGCGCTTTCTTCTAGCTCTTCCCCCTCCCAGAAAGACCCGGGCCGAGCTCATGAAGGCCATCGACTTCGAGTACTACGGCTACCTGGACGAGGACGACGGGGTCATTGTCCCTCTGGAACAGGAATACGAGAAGAAACGTGAGTCCGTGGGCACCGCCCGTCCTCCGGGCGGGGACCTCAAACTCCGGTCCGCGGGCCAGACGCGGGCGTCTCTGCCCGTCTTTTTTTTGTTTTTTATTGAGACAGAGTCTCGCTCTGTCGCCCGGGCCGGAGTGAGCGCCGTGGCCTCAGCCTCGCTCACAGCAGCCTCCGACTCCTGGCCTCCAGCGATCCTCCCGCCTCGGCCTCCCTCCCGAGTAGCTGGGATGACAGATATGCGCCTCCACGCCCGGCTCGTTTTTTTCTATATGTTTTTAGTTGTCCGGCTCATTTCTTTCTAATTTTTTTGTAGTAGAGACGGGGTCTCGCTCTTGCTCAGGCTGGTTTCGAACTCCTGACACCTCGAGCGATCCTCCCGCCTCGGCCTCCCAGAGTGCTGGGTGGGATTATAGGCGTGAGCCACCGCGCCCGGCCTACTTTCCTTCTTCATTTAAAGTAGAAAGAGAAGAAATAAAAGAAAAAATAATTAAAAGGATAAAAAAGATAAAAAAAAAAAGATTACTTTCCTTCCCCATTTAAAATGGAAAGAAAAGAAATAAAAGAAGCAGAAAAAACAATTAAAGGAATAAAAAAATAAAATAAAACAAGATTTCTTTCTTCCCCATTTAAAATAAAAAGGAAAGAAATAAAAGAAGAAAAAATAGTTATAGGAATAAGAAAAATAAAAGATTTCGTTCTCCCCCATTTAAAATTAAAAGAAATAGAAGAAAAAATAGTTACAGGAATAAAAGAATAAAAAAAACAAGATTTCGTTCTTCCCCATTCAAAATAAAAAGGAAAGAAATAAAAGAAGAAAAAATAGTTATAGGAATAAAAAAATAAAAGATTTCATTCTCCCCCATTTAAAATTAAAAGAAAAGAAATAGAAGAAAAAATAGTTACAGGAATAAAAAAATAAAAGAATAAAAAAAACAAGATTTCGTTCTTCCCCATTCAAAATAAAAAGGAAAGAAATAAAAGAAGAAAAAATAATTAAAAGGATAAAAAAGAAAAAAAAAACAAGATTACTTTCCTTCCCCATTTAAAATGGAAAGAAAATAGAAGAAGCAGAAAAAATAATTAAAGGAATAAAAAAATAAAATAAAAAAAAACAAGATTTCTTTCTTCCCCATTTAAAATAAAAAGGAAAGAAATAAAGGAAGAAAAAATAGTTATAGGAATAAAAAAAATGAAAGATTTCGTTCTCCCCCATTTAAAATTAAAAGAAAAGAAATAGAAGAAAAAATAGTTACAGGAATAAAAAAATAAAAGAATAAAAAAACCAAGATTTTGTTCTTCCCCATTCAAAATAAAAAGCAAAGAAATAAAAGAAGAAAAAATAATTAAAAGGATAAAAAAGAAAAAAAAAAACAAGATTACTTTCCTTCCCCATTTAAAATAGAAAGAAAAGAAATAGAAGGATAAAAAAGAAAAAAAAAAACAAGATTACTTTCCTTCCCCATTTAAAATAGAAAGAAAAGAAATAGAAGAAGAAAAAATAAAGGAATAAAAAATAAGATTTCTTTCTTCCCCATTTAAAATAAGAAGAAACATAATATGCCGAAATAAAAAAATAAAATAAAATTTAAAAAAAAAATGAAAGAAGGGAAAGTAGTTGAAGGAATAAAGGAGTGGAAGGACAAGGAGGCGCGCGCGGGGAGGCGCGTGGTGGGGAGGCGCACACGGGGAGGCGCGCGTGGGGAGGTGCGTGGCAGGGCGCAGTGGCAGCAGGTGCGTGTGCTTTCAGTGCGGGTGCGGCTGGCGGACAGGTGGAGGTCAGAGCGGGAGGCCCGGCTGGCCCGAGGCGAGAAGGAGGAGGAGGAGGAGGAGGAAGAGGAGGCGAACATCTACGCGGTCACCGAGGAGGAGGTATGGGGGTGCGCAGCCCGTTGGGACCCCTCGACGCCGGGGAGGTGGAAGGCTCAGACTCGGGGGTCTCTGGGTTGGGGGGACGGGTCCCCCACGGCGTTCCCGGGTCCCCACGGTGCTCTGCTCTCACTCCTGCCCGTCTCTGTCTGTCTTTTCTTTTTGTTGTTTTTTTTTTGTTTTTTTATTCTTTTATTTTTATTTTGCTTTTGTTTTGTTTTTTCCTCATTATTTTTTGTGCTGGTCCTTACGTCTTTCTCTTCTCTCCTTCTATCTTTCTTTCTGTCTTTCTTCCCTGTTTCTTTTTTCTCTCTGCCTTTCTTTCCTTCTTCCTGTCTTTTCTTTTTTCTTTCTTTTCCTTTCTTCCTTTCTTTCCTTCTTTCTGCCTTTATCTTTTCTTTCTTCTTTCTGTCCTTTCCTCCTTTCTGTCTGTCTTTCTGTCTTTACTTTTCTTTTTCTTTCTTTCCTTCTGTCTTTTTTTCTTTCTTTTCCTTTCTTTCTTTCCTTCTGTCTTTCTGTTTTTATCTTTTCTTCGTTTCTTTTCCTTTTTACCTTTCTTTCCTTTCTGTTTTTTTCCTTCTTTCTTTTCTTTCTTTCTGTCTGTCTTCTTTTTTCTTTCTTTCCTTCTTTCTCTTTTCTTTCTTTTTCTTTTCTCTCTTTTTTCTACGTTTCTTTCTTTCTGTCTCTGTCTTTTTTTCTTTTCTTTTCTTTTCTTTCTTTCCTTCTGTTTTTTTCTTTTTTTCTGTCTCTTTTTCTTTTCATTCTTTTTTCTTTTGTCTTTTCCTTTCTTTTCTCGCTTTCTTCCCTTTTTTCCTTCTTTGTGTCTTCCTTTTTTCTTTCTTTTTCTTTCCTCCTTTCTTTCTTTCTTCTTTTTCTTTCCTTCTTTCCTTTCTTGTGTCTTTCCGTCTTTCTTTTCCTTTTTTTCTTTTTGTTTTCTTTCTTTTTTCCTTTTTTCCCTTCTTTTCTTTCTTTCTTTGTTTCTTTCTATCTGTCTTTCTTTCATTTTTGAGACAGAGTCTCGCTCTGTCACCCGGGCTGGAGTGAGTGCCGTGGCGTCAGCCTCGCTCACAGCAGCCTCCGACTCCTGGCCTCCAGCGATCCTCCTGCCTCGGCCTCCCTCCCGAGTAGCTGGGACCACAGGCATGCGCCACCACGCCCGGCTCGTTTTTTCCCTATATATTTTTAGTCATCCAGCTCATTTCTTTCTTATTTTATTTTTTTTTTAACTAGAGACGGGGTCTCGCTCTTGCTCAGGCCGGCCTCCACCTCCTGACCTCGAGAGAGCAATCCTCCCGCCTCGGCCTCCCTCCCAGAGCGCTGGCACGACAGGCCCGTGAGCGAGCCTCCGCGCACCGGGCCTCCTCGCACCGGGCCTCCTCTTTCCTTTTTTTTTGCTTCTTTCGAACATCTGGGGAGTTGGCGTGTCTTCCAGAGCGTCGATTTTCTAGAATTTTCTCTGCTGGTCCTTTATCGGGGGGCTCCTGGCGGGTCTCTTTGCAGTCGGACGAGGAGGGCAGCCAGGACAGAGCGGGGGAGGACGGGCAGCAGAAGTTCATCGCTCACGTCCCCGTACCGTCCCAGCAAGAGGTAGGACCGCGGGCGGCCCGGCCTGCCCGGTGGCTGTTCTAGCGCCTTCCGCCCCGGGCGGCTCTGGGTCCCTCTCGCCCGCCCGCCCGGCCGTTGTCATCCTGCCCCCAAGACGGGCTGTGGCAGCCACAAGGGGACGCGGGGGGCCCGTCCTACAGACAGCAGGCTTCCTACTGTTCAGCCCTTCCCAGCGGGAGAGCCTCGGAGACCTTCCAGAACGTTCTGCCTGTTCGAACCAGGCCCCCTCTCCTGGCTGGGACCTGGCAGGGGGGGATTCGCGAAGGACTCAGCCCTTTTCTCCCTCTCTCTTTTTTTCTTTTTTTTTTTTGAGACAGAGTCTCGCTCTGTCGCCCGGGCTGGAGCGAGCGCCGTGGCGTCAGCCTCGCTCAACAGCGGCCTCAACCGATCCTCCCGCCTCGGCCTCCCTCCCGAGTGGCTGGGACGACAGGCATACGCCTCCATGTGCCCAGCTCGTTTTTTATTTATATATTTTAGTCGGCGATTCTTTCTTCCTTTTTTGAGTAGAGACGGGGTCCCGCTCTGCTCAGGCTTGCCCGGACTCCTGGCCTCGAGCGAGCCTCCGCTCGGCCTCCCCTCCCGAAGCTGGACGACGCATGACGCCACACGCCCGGCTCGTTTTTTTATTATATTTTTAGTTGTCCGATTAATTTCTTCTATTTTTTTTTTTTTTTTACTGGAGACGGGGGTTGCTCTTGCTCAGGCTGCCTCGAATCCTGACCTGAAGCGATCCTTTTTTCCTGCCTCGGCCTCACCTCCCGAGTAGCTGATGGACGGACAGGCACGCGCCCCAACGGCCCGGCTCTCATTTTTTCGTATATATGTTTTATCATCAGATAATTATTCGTTTTTTTGTTTTGTTATTTTTTGTTTTAGCAGGACACGGCTCGCTCTTGCCTCAGCCTGGCCTCGTGCTCCGGCTCAAGCGATCTCCTGCTCGGCCTTCCCAGAGTGCCCGGATGACGAGGCGTGGCTGCGCCCGCCTGGGCTCTTTTCTTTTTTTTTTTTTTTTTTTTTTTGATACAAGAGTCTGGCTCTGGCCTGGCGCTAGGAGTGCGTGGCTCAGCCTCGCTCACAAAAGCGATTCCTTCCGCCCTCGGCCTCCCTCCCGAGTAGCTGGGGCTATCACGCATCGCGCCACGACGCCCGGCTCGTTTTCCGATAGTTTTAGTCGTTCAGCCAATTTCTTTCTATTTTAGCAGGAGACGGGGTCTCAGACATCTCTTGCCTTCAGGCTGGTCTCGAACTCCCGACCTGGAGGATCTCCCTCCTTCGGCCTCCCTCCGAGTAGCTGGACTACAGGCATGCGCCCTCACGTGTCGGCTCGTGTTTCCTATATATTTTTAGTTGTCCAGCTCATTTCTTTCTATTTTTTTTTTTTTTTTTTTTTTTTTTTAGTAGAGACGGGGTCTCGTTCTTGCTCACGCCGGCCTCCGACTCCCGACCTCGAGCGATCCTCCCGCCTCAGCCTCCCTCCCGGGTTAGCTGGGACTATACAGGCATATATATATATATATATATATTAGTTGGCCAAATCAATTTCCTTCTCTTTCTCGGCAGAGACAGACGGGGAAGCCTCGCTCTTGCTCAGGCTGGCCTCCGCCTCCCGACCCCGAGCGAGCCTCCCGCCCCGGCCTCCTCCTCCTCCCCCTCCACCCCTCGTCCCCTCTGACCTCTGGCCTCCCCACGCCCACAGATCGAGGAGGCCCTGGTTCGCAGGAAGAAGATGGAACTCCTGCACAAGTACGCCAGCGAGACCCTCCAGGCCCAGAGCGAGGAAGCCAGGAGACTGCTGGGCTACTGAGTATCGGGCGCCGTTTTCCCCCCTGCGTTCTGGAAGATTCCACGGCCCCTCGCGGGGCCTCGACGAGTCCGGGACGCCAGCGGCGAGGTTCCCTGCTCCTTTCCGGTCCTTTCTTTGTTTCCCATTTCTCTCTGGTCTTGGGGTCCCCGCCGGGGAATGTTCCAGACTCCACCTTTGCCTGCCGCGCCGACGACCCGTTTATTTTTATCTTGCAGTCGGCAAGGCGGGCGCCCGAGTGTCTGTGATTCCGCCCCGTAACTCCGGGGGCTGGGAAGGATCCCTCGTGGTGGAGGCTGACGTTTATAAAAACAAAACAAAACACCAAAAATGTCATTTTTCTAAAAAAAAAAAAAAAAAAAAAATAGGGCAGATGATGTCTCAGGCCCGGGCTGCAGCCGCGAACTCCTGGCCTCCTCGAGCGAGCCTCCCGCCCCGGCCTCCTCCCAGAGTCCTGATTTCTTTTATTTCTTTCTTTTTTTTTTTTAGTAGAAACAAGGGTTCGCTCTTGGGCTCAGTCTGGTTTTGAACTCCTGGCCTCGAGCGAGTGATCCTCCCGCCTGGGCCTCCTCCCGGAATCTTGATTTCTTTTTTTTTTTTTTTTTTTTTTAGTAGAGACGGGGTCTCGCTTCTAGGCTGGCCTCCAACTCCTGGCCTTGAGCGATCCTCCCGCCTGGGCCTACTCCCAGACTCTTGATTTCTTTTTTCTTCTTTTTTAGTAGAGATGGGGTCTCGCTCTTGGGCTCAGGCTGGCCTCCAACTCCTGGCCTCGAGCGAGCCTCCCGCCTCGGCCTCCCTCCAGAGTAGCTGGGACGACAGGCATGCGCCACCACGCCCGGCTCGTTTTTTCTATATATTTTTAGTTGGCCAGTTAATTTGTTTCTATTTTTTTTTAGTAGAGACGGGGTCTCGCTCTTGCTCAGGCTGGCCTCCAACTCCTGACCTCGAGCGAGCCTCCCACCTCGGCCTCCCTCCCAGAGTCTTGATTTCTTTTTTCTTCTTTTTTAGTAAAGACGGGGTCTCGCTCTTGGGCTCAGGCTGGCCTCCAGCTCCTGGCCTCGAGCGATCCTCCCGCCTCGGCCTCCCAGACTCCAAATTTCTTTCTATTTTTTTTAGTAGAGACGGGTTGTCTTGCTCTTGGGCTCAGGCTGGCCTTGAACTCCTGGCCTTGAGCGAGCCTCCCTCCTCGGCCTCCTCCCAGACTCTTGATTTCTTTTTTTTTCTTTTTTAGTAGAGACGGGGTCTCCCTCTTGCTAAGGCTGGCCTCTAACTCCTGACCTCGAGCGAGTCTCCCGCCTCGGCCTCCCTCCGGAGCAGCTGGGACTACAGGCATGTGCCACCACGCCCGGCTCGTTTTTTCTATATATTTTTAGTTGGCTAATTAATTTGTTTCTATTTTTTTAGTATAGACAGGGTCTCACTCTTGCTCAGGCTGGCCTCCAACTCCTGACCTCGAGCGATCCTCCCTCCTCGGCCTCCCAGAGTCCTGATTTCTTTTTTTAGTATGCACGGGGTCTCGCTCAGGCCGGCCTCGAACTCGTCACCTCGGGCACGATCCTCCAGCCTCGGCATCCCAGAGTCCTAATTTATTTCTATTTTTTTTTTTTTTTTTTATTATTAGAGATCGGGTCTCGCTCTTGCTCAGCCGGCCTCCAACCTCTTGACCCTAGCGATCTCCGCCTCGGCCTGCCCAGAGTGCCGAGGATGACAATGGCGTGAGCCTGCCGCGCGCCCCCGGGCCTCTTTGTTTTTTTTTTTTTTTAATTTGCTTTTTTGATAACCCCGTTCCGCAGAGAGCTATTTTTATTAAAGATTTTTCTAAGAAAAACGAAAAGCCGTCCACGCCTGCCGCTCGCTCCCCGGGTTGGCCGCTCGAGACCGGGACTCAAGGGGTCCAATAAATGTCCCCTCTGGTCCTCCCTTGCCCGCGGCTGCCGGGTTGGGGGCATGTCCCCCAAACCTCCAGCCCTGTGGACGAGAAGCATGGGACCAGATCCGAGCCTGGCCAGACCTGGGGCGCGCGCCCCAGCCTGCGCAGTTTGCGGCCCACGGGCGTGACGTCGTTAAAGATCGACCTGGCGCTGAGTTTGCCCCCGGGGGTCAGGGCAGTCTCGGGGTCCGGTCAGAGGCGTGACGAGACCGCTGGGGACAGAGTGGCGTCTAAGGGGGTGGCCCGGCTCACACGGCTTTCTTAATCCAAGGGGCTCGAGTCGGGTGTGGAGCCGGAACGATGGGAGGCGCATTTCTGCTTCCTGGGAAAAGTGACAAGTGGCCAGGGGCCCCCCTGAAAAGCTGAGCGCTCCCGGCTTTTTCTCCTCTTTTTCTTTTTTTTTTTGAGGGCGAGAGTCCTCGCTCTGTCTCCCGGGCCGGAGTGAGCGCCGTGGCGTCAGCCTCGCTCGCAGCAGCCTCCACCTCCTGGCCTCCAGCGATCCTCCCGCCTCGGCCTCCCTCCCGAGTAGCTGGGACGACAGGCATGCGCCACCACGCCCGGCTCGTTTTTTCTAGATATTTTTAGTTGTTCACCTCATTTCTTTTTATTTTTGTTTTTAGTAGAGCCGGGGTCTCGCTCTTGCTCGGGCTGGCCTCCAACTCCTGGCCTCGAGCTATCCTCCCTCCTCAGGCTCCCAAGTATTTGGGACTGACATTCACGGGCCACCACATCCGGGTGATTTTTTTTTTATATATATATTTTTAGTTTTCCAGCTAATTTCTTTCTAATTTTTTTAGTAGAGACGGGGTCTCGCTCTTGCTCAGGCTGGTTTCGAACTCCCGGCCTCGAGCGATCCTCCTGCCTCGGCCTCCCAGAGTGCTGGGACGACAAGGCGTGAGCCTCCGCGCGCCCGGCCTAGAGCGTGTCCTGCAGCCGCCAGCGTAGATCCGTGCCTCGGATCCCCCGGTGGCCGTCACCCCGGCCCTGCAGTGAGCGAGTCCCGTCAAATCTCGGTCCGTGCCCGGCCTCCGCGGCCGGCCTCCCTTGCGTCATTTGGAGGCTAATCTCTCATCTCAAAGCATTTCGTCCCAGGAGGCCGTCTCTAGAGAAAAATGGAAAAGCTAGGCGTGGCGGTGCGGGCCTGTCGCCCCAGCTGCTCCCATGGTCCCAGCTACTCTTGTTGCCCCAGCTGCTCCCTTCGTCCCAGCTACTCCCATGGTCGCAGCTACTCCTGTGGTCTCAGCTACTCCAGTAGCCCCAGCTACTCCTGCAGTCTCAGCTACTCCTCTCGTCCCAGCTTCTCCAGTCATTGCAGCTACTCCTGTGGTCCCAGCTGCTCCTGTCGCACCAGCCATTCCTTTGTCGCCCCAGCTACTCCTGCGGTCCCAGCTACTCCTGTCGTCCCAGCCATTATACTTTCAGCCTCTCCCGTCATCCCCAGCTACTCCAGTCGTTACAGCTACCCCTGTGGTCCCCGCTACTCCTATTGCCCCAGCTACTCCTGTAGTCTCAGCTATTCCTCTCGTCCCAGCTTCTCCAGTCATTGCAGCTACTCCTGTGGTCCCAGCTGCTCCTGTAGTCCCAGCTACTCCTATTGCCCCAGCTACTCCTGCAGTCTCAGCTACTCCTCTCGTCCCAGCTTCTCCAGTCATCCCAGCTACTCCTATCACGCCAGCCATTTCTATCGCCCCAGCTACTCCTGCAGTCCCAGCTACTTTTGTGGTTCCAGCTACTACTGTCGTCCCAGCCATTATACTCTCAGCTGCTCCAGTCGTTCCAGCTACTCCAGTCGTTCCAGCTACTCCTGTAGTCCCCGGTACTCCTATCACCCCAGGTACTCCTATTGTTCCAGCTACTCCTATCACCCCAGCTACTCCTGTCCTCTTAGCAATTCCTATCGCCCCAGGTACACCTATAGTCTCAGCTACTCCTGTCATCCCAGCTACTATCACCCCAGGTACTCCTGTTGTTACAGCTACTCCTATCACCCCTGCTACTTCTGTCCTCTCAGCAATTCCTATCGCCCCAGGTACACCTATAGTCTCAGCTACTCCTGTCGTCCCAGCTACTATCACCCCAGGTACTCCTATTGTTCCAGCTACTCCTATCACCCCTGCTACTTCTTGTCTTAGCAATGCCTACATCGCCCCAGGTACACCTATAGTCTCAGCTACTCCTGTCGTCCCAGCTACTATCACCCCAGGTACTCCTATTGTTCCAGCTACTCCTATCACCCCTGCTACTTCTTGTCTTAGCAATGCCTACTGCCCCAGGTACTCCTATAATGTCAGCTACTCCTGTCGTCCCAGCTACTCCTGTCACCCCAGGGACTTCTGTATTCTCAGCAATTCCTACTGTCCCAGGTACTCCTATAGTCTAAGCTACTCCTGTAGTCCCAGCTATTACTGCCATCCCAGCTATTCCTATAGTCTCAGCTACTCCTGTAGTCCCAGCTATTACTGCCACCCCAGCTATTCCTATAGTCTCAGCTACTCCTATCACCCCAGCCACTTCTGTCTTCCCAGCTGCTCCTATCACCCTAGCTACTCCTGTCACCCCAGCTACTCCAGTCATCCCAGCTACTCCTGTCGTCCCGGCTACTCCAATCGCCCCAACTACATTTCTCATCCCAGTCACTCCTATCCCCCCAGCTACTCCTGTAGTCTCCGCTACTCCTGTCATCCCAGCTACTCCTACAGCCTCAGCTACTCCTGTCTTCCCAGCTACTTCTATAGTCCCAGCTACCCGGGAGACTGAGGCAGGAGGATCTCTGGAGCCCGGGAGCTGGAGGTTGCTGTGAGCTATGATTGCATCACTGCACTCCAGCCTGGCCGACACAGAACTATGACTCCTAAAAATGATAATAATATCAAGTTCCATGATTTTTATAAAAGAATTTTAAAAAAATGAAAAATATTAAAATTAAATTAAAAACAGCAAAAAAAACCAAAACAAAAATAATAATAATCACCTGTGTCAACATCCCAGCGTGAATCTATAAAAGATATAAACACTTAAAAAAAATATCTATAACAATATTTATTGATATTATCTTTTTTATATATGACAATATTATTATTATTTTTTTATATATATATATCAGTTGGCCAATTAATTTCTTTCTATTT